AAAATGCGACATATTTTTGTATTTTTTATTAATTTAGCAAATAAACATGCAAAGACAAATACAAATAATTATTCAAAATATCACAAAATTGCACTCCAAGAAAAATTATTTTATTTTTGAATTTTTTTGGGAGTAATTCTCATAGAGGTCAAAAATCACGTGCTTACACTACCTACTATGTCACAAGAGTCCAGAACCAAAATGTGGTTCTTTTAGACTCAAAGAACAAAAATATATAAAAAAAAATAAAGTGACCAAAATATATATAGCGTCTTTTTAAAAGATGCTATACCTTAACAACCGATTGGCCAGTTAAGTATATCGTCTTTTAAAAATACGCTATATATAGCGTTCTTTACTAAGACGCTATACATATTATGTGGGCCCACAAATAATTCTTTTGTGCTTAACTGACATAACAATAATTTAACATGGTATAACATTTTTTAAAAATACACTATACCTTAAATAATTGAACCCCCGGACTGGTTTTTGCCTTATTTAAAGAGGTGAAGGATTTTGTAAAAATCCATTCATAAACATTTTCAAGTCTTCTGAAATTTTTCTTTGTTAAGTTGTTTTGCATTTTGTCATAATGTCTGAAGAGCGAAGAATTAGGGTTTCATTATATTGGGGGGTGAGGTCGTGGTGGCGAATAACTCAGTAAGCTATAGTTAATCTCCACAGTCTCATGTTAAGTTATCACTTACAATGGAGTACGATACATTAGTATCGTTGTTATGTAAAAAAATGAGTGTGAGCAAATGTTCGGTGAATCGTAAAATAACCGAAAGATATCTGTATTTTGTGACTCCGCAAGGGGTTGCTTGTTATGTTGAGTTTAACATCAAAGACGATGATACTCTGAGAGATTTTTTGAGGACTCCGGATGAATACCAGGAATTTATTGTGATAAAACGGTTGAAAATATACGTCAAGGCTAAAGACGTTCGCAATAATGAGGTTGCGCAAAGTAGGGAAATCCCCAATCATCGGGTGGTTATTTTGGAGCGGTTTTAGCCGAACATGTTCTAGCTGAAAGTGTTTGGCCAGATCTAAACTTATCTCCACGGGCGAATGAGGAGCGAGGAAATAATTTCTCCCATAGTATACATAATCCACAAGTCGAGTGGTAAACTTCAATTTTCCTTTGTGTTACGATGTATACTTTTATGTATTGTATTTGTATTAACACTCATATATTCCACAAGGGGTACCGACCAAATATGAATTTCACAAGTTATGAACTAAAGGCAAGTTGGAATATGCCTAGTTTTGGTGTGTTGGATCATGGTGGTCCATTCAGGAGTCGGCATCAATAAGATAATGTGCATCATGGGATACCAACACATTATGATTTGTAAGTGAATATATAAAGTTATATGTATTGTTTGGACCAATTTCAGTAACTCATTATTTTTTTGGTTGTGCAGTAAAAACAAGTAACTTGATGGTCCTGCCCTTACTCAATTGCCTAAAGACGACGTATTTACTCGGGATTTGATAACAACGCCGATGAGTATTGAGATGACACACACTTCCCTAACGAGGGTGATGAGAAGGAGGAAGAGAATGTCGAACCTGATTTGACGAGGGAGCATGCTTCATACCCCGTTAGACCAAAAGTGTACGAGTCCCACGTGCCGTTTCATTCAAGGCATATTCCCTACCTTGATAATTTGCCAAGTACGCCGGATATGGATGCCCTCACAAGGGATATTGATGAAATTCGGGCAACAATGTGGGATGAACCTAAACCAACAGTGCTGTCAAAGGACATGTTTTTTCCTGATAAGGCGTGCCTAATCAAGGCGGTGAAAATATATAGCGTAAAAGAGTGTCGTGAGATGATG